ATATATATATATATATATATATTCATGTTGGTTTCTGGAGCGGTATCCTTGTTAAACAACATTATAGGAAAACACTCCCATAAACCAATTAGATTTAGGGTGGGCGGTCAACAGTTATTTTATGAATCTAACTTCTCTACTATTTATGAGTCAAATATTGTAAAATCATTCTCTCTGTCTCTCTCTCTCTCTCTCTCTCTCTCTCTCTCTCAGGTATGTCTAAACCTGGAACTGCAGTGCGCTGGAGGAGAGCAAAGACTGAGGTGAGAATCTGAGTACAGATTAATAATAGACTCCTGACTTTATGAAGTTTCTGTACGCAGAGACAAAAATGGGACTCTAAATAAAGAATTTAACATCCAGATTGTGTCTCTTCATCAGGACATCACCTCCAGAAACGAGTGAGGAGGAACCACACACACATAAACACATCCGTGTGAAGTCTGTCCTGAGGAGGCGGATGAAGTGAGTTTGTGGACACAAATCCTGCATCCGCTTTAAAATTAGTTATAGATCAGTTTTTGTAGTGGTGTTTTCACTGATCAGCTAAAGAGTTCTGAATATAATAATTACTGAAGAGTGATAGAACCAGTGATGGCAGATGACTGTCACAGGAAATTTTACATGCTAAGATTAGCATGCATTTTTAAATAGATGGACATATCAATGAAAAATTATCATTCTGTAAATGTTTAATAATTTGATCAGTTTTCCTAAATGAAAGACTGGATTGCATTAATTCTTTGAGTCAGTGGAGATGCCCTGCATGACAGAGCATAGAAGTGAAATGTGTCAGTGGTGTTTGTAAATGCATCAGCTTGGCTTGGTTAGGCTCTTCAACATGGTGACCAGGGCATATGTGTTATTGTCCAGCTTGTCTAGTCAGATTATCAGATTCTAAAAAATATTTACTGCTAAACCTAGTTTAATATAATATTATAATGACTTTGCAAGAAATCTTTAACTTTTGAGAAGTTGTAGCAAAAAAAGTGCCAGTTTAGCTTTGCACAGATGCCTCATATTTGTCAAGTGCCTTTGTTATATGAAACAGCAGGAGTGTTAATGCCATTTTCCAGGGTTAAAGTCACATATCCGTGCTGTGTGATTTAAGAGGGCTGAAATTTTAAGCACAAAGTGCTGCTATCAGGAGCGCAATAATTAGATTTACTATAAAAGCATTGCACTTAAAATAGGATTTAAAGCTCTTATTTCACAGGGACTTAAGACAATTAAACCCTGCTTGCAGGGAATTAGTGCTGCCAAAGGAGAACATGTTCTCGATTTACTATATAATAAGTGTATAATTTTGTCACGTTCACACAAGGCAACTGCTCTCACAGAAAGTTAAACTGAGCAAACTGTGAGTAGGAAGCAATGTCTGTCACAACATGACCAAAATGCATTAAGTGCAACTGAACTTGTATCCTCTGAAGGGAATGGCTAATTTCTGATATTTTTATTAGGATGATGAAATGTTTTTTTTATTACAAAGAGTCAAAGGTTTTAGGACACAGTGGAGTTTTTAAAAGGCAGCTCGGTTTTGAAGAGCAAAGACATTCATGAGGAAACAAAAGCAAAGCAAGGATCAAATGAAGTGTTTAAAGTAAGAGCATTTCAGTTTTAGAGGTTTAAGCCTAAAAATCTGAAATCAAACATGTTTGAGACCAAGCCAAGGTGAATAAGTGAATTATTCAAATGCATTTATCTTAGCCAATAGATATCTATATATGAAGTGAAGTGTATATATGTTTATATGAAGTGTATTGTCTTCGGTGTTTATTGTAAATGTTTTTGTAATGTACATGAGCAATGAAACAAGAATGAATATTGCTCTATAAAAAGTCAATATTTACTGTAAAGTGTTCTGTAGAAAATGTATCATTATGTGGGGCCAATCATAGAAAGTTGAAAGGTAAGGATGCTGAAAGGATTTAAGCTGTTTCTCAGCAAAACCGTACATGACAATATAATATTAAAGGGCTGACAACGCCACCTATTGGGCAAAAGTTAAAAGTAATTCTATTTACGGACATTAAAGTGCTTGTCCTTAAATCCTTATCAGAATGCTATGTCCAATCAGATTTACAAAACATTTACATAATATTTTTGTTGCTGTGCCTGGTCCTGTAATTGCTGCTTGCAGCTATATTTATAATAATAATTTTTGTTAATACAACAATCAGTTAGATGTGGGATGTAAGCAATTAGTCCATTATATCCCATTAGAAATGGGATAAAAAAAAAAGTTGAAAAAAATACAGAAAAGAAAAAATGTGTTTTTATTTATTAATGTTTTTCAAATTATATAATTAATAAGTCACTGGGTACAGAGTTAAAAGGCAAGATGATTCCAATATGACTGTTTTAGACCATTGACATTATGATTGGATGTAATTTTAATGCAACAGCATGTTGTAAAATTAAGATGGAATTGCAGTTTGTACTAAACAGGACTCATAATGTGTTCACTGATCAGTAATCTGAAAATATTAAATTATTTCCCTAGGGAGAGCTGCCTTTAAGCTTTGATGACTGCAGTGAACCTGTAACTGCATTTAACAATCTGTGTCACAAGAGAGCTAAAGATTTACTGTAAATAGTAAAAACTTTAGTTATTATGTATTATTCCACTGCACGTGAAAGTAAAATGTGAAATGTATGTGGTTCATGTATGCACTGTAAAATATAATCTTAAAAGTAAATGCATTTATGTCATTTGCACAAACATAATTTGCCATGTTAGAAAGTATTAAAGGAGTGATAGGCCTTAAAACAGATGTTTTATAAGGTTAATAGTTTTACAGTGTATTTTGAAAAAAAACTGTATTGTCCATTTTCAATAATAAAGCTTTATATATAAATATAATAGTTTTTGTTTTTTTGTTTTTCAAATGCATACTGGATTAGAATCAATGCAATTGATTGTTGTTGCTCTTGCTAATGTAATTAACATGTAATGTAATTGGGCCTGCATTGATTTATGGACTGAATTTACACATTTTGACAAATTTGCTCCAGGTATTATTCAAATTGGTCTATTTGTTAACACAATGAATTTTAAAATAATCTCATGTAATGGTAGCAGGAAGAGGAATTAGGGCTTCAGATTATTTTTTAATCTGTTCTAACATTTAATATATTTCATTATTCTCTTCTGGGCTTTGTGTGTTTAATATGGATTTTGTGCCTCTGAACCTGTAGCTGTAAGATATCTGTATTCACCATCTGAGACACATGTTTCATGACACTATAGGACATGATGATATTAATACCAAGTAGTAGTTTGTGAGTTTTGTTAATCACAAACTCATAAAACAAGCTGTTTTATTGAAGTATTTATCTTATTTAATCATTCAGTGAATAAACCAAGAACAGTGAATCCTAGTTTCCATCAGTTCAGTAATTTATTGTGGATCTGCAGCGTGAAGATCTCTGCATCTGCTCATGACCTTTAGGAGTAAGAAATTATGCAAAGTATTAAAAAATGTCATTTTCAGTATAAACAGTTTAGAAGCACACTGTTTGCACTTACCACCTGTGTTTTAAGCAGCCTCATCAAGTTTACAATAACCTAAAATATATGATATGATAAATACGTTTTATATAAACTATGGAATTGCATTCACACATCATGTTTTCCCGGTCTTTGTTTTACTTAAGTTACATAATCAATAATCAAATGCGTCAGACACAAACCATTTTTCAGAGGTGCCTTTAAGAATTCTTCCATATAAACACACTCCATTTTTGACTTAAATTCCTGAATCACTTCATCTGGTGTCTTTTCATTACGAGCTGCAATGGAAGACAGACAGACAGACATTCATTATGAATAAAAGTCTGTTGTGTAACTGAATCACTTTGCAATGGTGACTTTACATGCAGCACATATACAGTATTAGAGATGATCCTTTAAGGTTTCAGGGGAGGGTTCACACTGAATTGAATGTTTTCATTGCTGTCCAGTTTAACATGTTGCACTGATCATGTAGGTGAAAGAATACAATGATTAAACATGATACTGACCAAACAGCATAGCACTGACTTCCTCGTCTTCATCCACAAACAGTATTATGATGCATGAAGGGCAGTTTATGAGCTTGCCATCCCAGATCAGTACAATAGTGTCGAAATCTGTTCACACAGTGATACATTTTAAAAAGGAAATGAAGTCATAAGAAATCATTTATCTTTTAAAATAATAACTAAAATAATAATGATTAAATGTATTAATGGGTCTCGTGAAAGAATATTGCTTGATCTTAACCCATTATATAGTGTAAAACATGGATAGACAGTGTTGAATTACTGTGTTTCAGACTGATCAGACTGTACATCAGTTCCTACCGGTTCTGAACAGAAACGGGTCCATCACAGACAAAGCAAAGTAGCTCCAAGTATTTTTCTGACACTGATCTCCACTGTGATAAACAAAAAGATTTGATATGCTTGAAAACCTCACATATTGTAAATAATAGAACAGTCATATGTCAGTGTGCGTATGTGTTTGTTAATGACTAAACATACTATGGTATTAACAAAGATTTCTGTTTTTACTATCTATATTTATATAGAACTCCATTCAGTTTTTACTGTCATTAAGACCCCACAAAAACAAGGATGTGTGTGTGTGTGTGTGTGCATGTGCATGTGTGTGTGCACTTGTGCATGCGCGCAGTTTTCCACTCACATGCGAATGGTTTCAGTCACCGTCAGGATGTCGTTAGCACCTTTCTGAATGTGAAGAATAGAGCTGTCGGTGGTCTTGAAGGACTTAAGATCATCTTCTTCCCATGCAGCTGCTGCCACAAAATACCAAGAGCCCATATACTGCACAAGAAGAATATATACTGTATATGTATGTATATATATATATATATATATATATATATATATATACACGCGCCAAAGACTTAAACTACTTCAGTCTGTGTGCATTGAATTTATTTAATACACGAGTTTCACAATTTGAGTTGAATTACTGAAATAAATGAACTTTTCCACGACATTCTAATTTATTGAGATGCACCTGTATATAGTATATATAACATATATAATGGATGAAAATATTTCTTATAAATAACTAATTAGCCACTTAACTAATATGAGTTAATGAGTGAAATTCAGCACAAAGATCGATATTTTACAAACAATGGACTCTTCCACAAAACAAAGACTAGTTGACATTAGTGTGATGCAGTGTTCCTGTCACTTGCAACATTAAGGTCATGGGTTCAATACCAAGTAAACACACAATTAATAGACATTTTATGAGCAAATAGTCACTATACATTTTTAAAGCTGGAGAGACCTCAGATTTGTACATCAGTTAAGTTCCTGTGAGAAAAACAACATTTATCATATTGTGTGTGTGTGTATACATAAAAAATAAGATCTAAAAGCTAAGGAATAAGGCTTTTCAAGCCTCTTACCTCATCAGTATTAATAACAGCAGTGGAGAGAGGAGCTGGAGGAAGACATGGCACCATGACCTGTATCCCAGCGTAAAACAGGCCCATTAGTGGGCTCACAACACCCCATAATGTGCTCATAAGCATGGCTGCATCAATGAGATCGCCTGTGATATACAACGAATGCTGATGTCTTCTAAGTGACTGATGCTTTGACAGAGATGTTTTAATACAGTGCTCAGGGGGACTTTCACCCTGATTTGTTAGCTTTTTTCTGTTTGCTAGATAATCTGATAATGGTTAATGGAGTGTTTGTCAGGGCAATGCACCCCAATATGCCTGACCTTGTCCTGGACCAATCTCTCTACCCACGCATGCTGCAGAAAAATATGCAAAGCCATTCAAATGGAGGACAATGTGACAATGTGGTTTAGTCTTTACAATGTCTCACAAATAATTCATGATGGTACAAAAAAACACAGAACTCAACAGTTAAGAAATATCACATAATATATAATTTACTGTTTCTCCAGACAGTAACAAGATTAAAAGAAAGGACATGGAGACTTCTGCTTAAGTCCTACTATTATTCCTTTCAGTGTATGTTTATTGTGACCTTTGGATCGACATTGACTTGCTCTTCAGTGCAAAATGCAGCCTTGCTACTGTCTCTTTACTAATCAAAGCTTACAGTTATTTAATGCCCTTTTTTTGTCCATACTTTCACTAGATGTCTCTGTGGAAATTGTAAATGATTTTGTGCAAATAAGTTTTTTCAAAAAATACTTTTGATAGGTGCCTGCTGCAGAAAAATGTAACAAAACAAAAATATTACAGTGGTAAAATGATTATTGACATCTGTGTCTTTACTGTAAAAAGTATGCTTTTTAAAAATCGTAATTATTCAGCATTTGTAATTTCTCTTGCTGAAGAATCTGTCACTTGTTCACCAATCAAAGCAATGGGATCGTTGAAAGACTAAATATCTTTGAGTAGAAACAAATAAAAAACTTAAAACTAAGATTGAAAGCCCCTGAGCATACACAGCTCTAGAAAAAGTTAAGAGACCACTGCAAAATAATCAGTTTCTCTGGTTTTACTAGGCTATTTGAAGGTAGGCTATGTGTTTGAGTAAAATGAACATTTTTGTTTTATTCTATAAACTACTGACAACATTTCTCGCAAATTCCAAATACACATATTGTTATTTATAGAGCATTTATTTGCAGAAAATGACAACTGGTCAAAATAACAAAAAAGATGCAATGTTTTCAGACCTCAAATAATGCAAAGAAAACATGTTCATATTCATTTTTAAACAACACAATACTAATGTTTTAAGTAAGGAAGAGTTTAGAAATCAATGTTTGGTGGAATAACCTTGATTTTCAAGCACAGCTTTCATGTGTCTTGGCATTCTCTCCACCATTCTATAACATTGCTGCTGGGTGACTGTATGCCAATCCTGGCAAAAAATAAATACAAAATTAATCATCTTGGCTTTGTTTGAAGACTTGTGACTCTTCCTCTTTAACACATTCCAGAGGTTTTCAATGGGGTTCAGGTCTGGAGATTGAGCCGGCCATGACAGGGTCTTGATCTGGTGGTCCTCCATGGAATCACATGGCTTGATTCATGCGCCCTTGTCAAAGATGAATGTACTTGATTCCAGCCTTTCTGAAGCATCACCAATCCTCCACCAAATTTCACAGTGGGTGCGAGACACTGTGGCTTGTAGGCCTCTCCAGATCTCCGTCTAACCATTAGATGTCCATGTGTAGGGCAAAGCTGAAAATTGGACTCATCAGAGAAGATGAACTTACTCCAGTCCAATCCTTATGGTCTTTTGCAAACCTCAGCCTGGCTCTTCTTTGTTTCTCATTGATGAAGGTTTTTTTTCTAGCTTTGCACGACTCCAGCCCTGCCTCTAGGAGCCTGTTTCGAACTATCCTCTCCGTGCACTTCACCCTTGCCGTTTGCCATTCTTTTTGTAGATCTCTTGATGTCATCCTACGGTTGTTGAGTGACATTCAAATGAGTTGGCAGTCATCCCAGTCAGTGGAGAGTCATTTTTGCCCTCTTCTGGTCTGCAGCTTTGTTGTCCCCAATGTCTGCAGCTTGACCTCATTCTTATGAACTGCTGTCTTTTAAATTTTAAGAATGGAAGCAACCTGACTCTTACTGTATCCCTCTGGCAGTAAAACCAGAATTTAACCCTTTGTTTCCTCACTCAAAACTTTTCTTTTCAACTCAATTGACACATTGTTCCTCCACGTAATAGTGGTCACAGATTCCGATTTTTCAAAGTCGGTGAATGTAATCCAGTATTTTAAGATCTGTTCCATTTTTAAAAGTCATGTAGTGTATGCCAGCCTTAAATCACGTAACTTTGATAGATTCTAAACAAAAGATTCAAAGAGATCAAAGCTTCACACAATGCAGTGTTTCGAAATCGTCATTAGCCTATTATTAGCCTAGCTATGCATGTTTTTTTTTTATATATAGTACCAGATGACTTAGTTGTCAAAGTATACAGTAGAACCACTGTGCAGCCTACTCAGAAATGTATATGTCACAGCTTGCAGACACACATGCTTTGCACATGTCTCATACAAAGAACCAGGAAACTTGTACTCTGAAGTTCAGGAAAATGAAACTTATTGTCCTTTCGCGGTTGTACCTTGAGGGATTTTGGTTGTATGGTGACTGTGACCAAGTACAACATGTTCCTGGATCAACATCCTTGTTGATCCTGGAACAACATTCCTATCAGCCAATCAGAATTGAGGGATAACTTTTCAGGAAATATCTGTTTTAGGCTTACAATCAGGGTTAGGTGCTTCTACACCCTTGGTAATCAGCTATCATTTCACACAGTTTTTAGGAATAAATTATGGGTAGGGTTAGGTTTAGGGGTAGGGATTGGGTTAAGTCTATATTTTTGGACAGTTATGTTGATCCAGGATCAACAAAAGATGTTGATCCAGGAACATGTCTTACTTGGCAAAATCACGGCGACCTTGGTTGTATACGCTTATCTTTTTACTGCATGCAGTAAAATGGCAGAATCCAGTATTTCAGTGGCTCAAGGCCAGTTTAACTGTTCAATCTGTCTGGAACTACTGAAGGATCCATCGACCATTCTCTGTGGACACAGTTACTGTATGAGCTGTATTACAGGCTGCTGGGATCAGGATGATCAGAAGGGAGTCTACAGCTGCCCTCAGTGCAGACAGACCTTCACTCCAAGACCTGTTTTAGGTAAAAACACCATGCTGGCTGAAGTGCTGGAGAAACTCAAGAAGACAAAACTCCAAGCTGTTCATCCTGACCAGTGTTACGCTGAATCTGGAGATGTGGAGTGTGACGTGTGTACTGGGGACAAAAACAAAGCCATCAAGTCCTGTCTGGTGTGTCTGAACTCTTACTGTCAA